GCATGAATATTAGCATATGTTGATCCGTTTCCTGTTGTTGGATGTTTGGCTTTCTGAAGATGAAACAGAAACCAGCTGAGCTTCAGATTTCGGAATTGATAAGCTCTTCTACCGAATCTCTGTAGCTTGAAATAAGATCCCTTCTTTGTTTTAGTAAGTTCTCAGTGTCTAACAGTTTGTGCTTTTGCTCCTCCACTGTCGTCGATTTTGCCTTAACTGTCTCTGCAATCGAGTTCAACAGCTGCTGGCACTTCTTAAATTGGTTGTTCAACTCGGTTACCAATGCATCAGTTTGCTGATTGGCGAGGAAATGGCATTTCCTCCGTTCATACCCCAAATGGGACTTTGGGATTTTGCTCAATTTAGTCCAGGTTGGGATTTTCTTGAGGGATTTTGGAGGGTAATAATTGAGTTTTGTGCTGGGGCGATGACAATATTTCTGTCTCCAAACCCCAAATCCCAGAAGTCAAAAAGCAAGAAATTGTGAGTTCTGATTGTCCATATTTGGGATTTGCATGTTTGGGTTATATTTAACCCTTGTTTGGGATCTATTAAAATCAAATTTTGGGAAAAAAAAAATATGTATTTTAGAATAGTGATTTTTTGAAAAATTTGTAATTAAGAAAAGAAAAGGTTTTGAATTTATGTGTAATATTATTTTATTGAAAAATATGATTAAAAATAAGAGAGAAAAATACATTTTGAATAAAATGGAGCTCAAATAGGGACTTAATTTAGATAAATAACATTATTTATTGAAAATGTGTCATTTTAAAATTGATGTCAATTGTTTTGTATTTTATTTAAAACTATGCTACATGTATATTAACATTTATATTAAATTTGACATCATTTGAAGTGTGACATGAAATCCAACATAGTATTTGATTTTTACATCCTTTTACCTAATTGACCAAATTTTAACACAGAGAACATTTTCATCCTTAATGTCAATTAGGGCGTGTTTGATACGCCTTATTTTCCAGGCAACTAGGAAAATATTTTCAAATTTCCACTTATTTGGAAGATTGATAGAAGAAATTTTCCACAGAAAATATTTTCC